GTATATATGTATGTATGTATGTATGTATGTATGTATGTATGCTGGGGGAGGCAGATACTCAGGGAAAGTCATTTCGGAATTCTTCGTGGCCAACGTCAGTGTAGGCACAGCTTTCTCTAACTGATAAAGGGAGCTCCTGCGGCTGCAGTTTTCTCTTTGGCTGCGTGAAGAGAGACATCAGATTGACAGCATTTGTGTTCACAGAGCCTGAGAAGAGACTGGTTGAGCACAGAAACAGACTAAGGAAGATGCGACCCCGAGAGCAAGGACGACAGCAAAGCACACCCCTTGGGGTTCAGGGAGATGGAAAGACAGGGAGTCTCTTCGAGTCCAACAAAACCAATGTGGAGAAGTTGGGCTCCAGGGCTGAGGGAGGGCTCCGCGGTTGAAGTGTTTGCCATGCGAGTGTGAGGACCAGAATCTGGATCCCAGGGTCCCCATGAACTGGTGGTGATGTGGGGCCCACCTGTAATTCCAACCTTGGCAGGCTGAGGTGAGGGCCCTCCAGAGCAAGCCGGCTAGGAAGACTAGCCTTAATCCATGAGCTCTGGGTTTGACTGAGAGACCCTGCCTCAATGGTTAAGGTGGAAGAGTGATAGAGGATAAATTCCTGACAACCTTAAGCCTCCACATGCATGCACACACATGTATGCCCACACATGCAGCCACACTGCACACATACACACACACACACACACACACACATATGCATACCACACCACACACAAATGGAAAAAGAAAAAAAAAACTTGGGTACTAGTGGTCATCTCATTGTCTGCTACAAGCTAGAGGAAATGTCTCTTTGGTGACATTTAGAATATGTCACTCCATGCCCCGCAACATGGATAGAGGCCTCCGATTCCCCAGAACCCCGAGTTAGTTCAGTTGCCCCTCAAACAACACGGCATCTTTCCTGACCAAGCCCTTTCTAGCCATAGGCGGTGGGCCCCAGTACTTAACCTGTTAGTACTTGTCTGCGTGCTCCCAGGAGTTAGTGTGGGGTTGAGGTCAGAGGAAGAGCTCGCTTGTAGTCGGCACACAACCCAGTGTGCTTTCTGTGGCTGTGATACACACCCTGACCAAAAACAGCTTGGGGATGAGAGGGTTTATTTGGCTTGTACATACCCATCACAGCAGTCTGCCATTGAGGGAAGCCAGGGCCAGAACTGGAGCAAGACCACAGGAGAGCGCTGCTGATTGGCCTATTCCTCACAGCTTGCTCAGCCTGCATTTTTTTTTAAATCCCACCCAGGAGCACCTGCCCAGGGTGTGAGCACCTCTGACACCAATCATTATTCAAGAAAATTCCCCCACAGGCTTGCGTACTGGCCACTTTGATGAGGCATTTTCGCAGTTGAAGTCTCAGATGACCCCGGCTTGTGTCAAGTTGACAAAAGATAACCAATATGGCCTGTGTGATAGATGGGACCGTTTCAGTGCGCACAGCCTGTATTAGTTACTTCTTGTGCTACTGCGGCAAAATGCCTGACAGGGACAAGTTCAGGGAAGAGCTCTGTGGACTCGCAGTTTCAGAGGGAACAGTCTGAACGTGACAGGGGCTGATGCAGCGGTGTCCGTGGCAGCAGGAATGTGGGGTCTCTTCTTAAGACAGCACCAGTGGACAAAGAAGTTGACAGCTGGACCTCAGGAACCTGCCCCCCATAATGTACTCCCTCCTGCCAGGTCCCACCTCCCCAGATTTCAGCACTACCAGCAGGGGGCCAGATGTTTAAACATGTGACCTACAGCATAACAAAACCCCACTGCAATACAAAAGAAAACTACTTTCGTCAGGGCTCCCCTGCTGTGAGCCTCCTGTCCACTAGGGGCAGCCTTCTAAGAGCATCCATTAC